ACTGCCGCGTCCCGCTTGCGAATGTTTGAAACTCGAGCCGCGGCAGCGGCTTTTGGGACTCGCTGCTTTGGGACAGTTTGCGCGCGCGTCTGCGCTTGGAGACGTGCAAAAAAACATGCGATCCTTTTGTCTGTTCAAATGAACCTCGTCAAGCAGTTACATGTCTCCCTTTGATTACGTTGGGGTGAAAACCGGCCATATTTAAAATTTGTATACCATCTAACAAAATGTGACGCAGAAGTGTCACATTTATAATAAACAATGACCATTTACCCACTGCAGAAAATACAGTCTAATCATTTTTAGTCGATATCTAAAAAAAATTACGATAAAATAAAAGCCGTTGAGTCATACGGTGATCATATATTTTGACGGGCGGGTAAACAAGGCAATCCGATTATGATAAAACGCTTCCTATATGATGCAGTACAATTTCATTAAAAATTGGTGATCTTAATCCCTCTCGAAAAGTGTTGAGCCTCATTGTGTCAGATAAGCAAAGCTATTGCGCCCACCGGATGTTAAAGAGTTCACTCTTGACCCCATTTGAACTGTGTTGCTGCCAAAACAGCAGCGCTAACTAAAGCCCGAATGTGCCAACGAGTTCTGGTACAATCATTTATGAGGTGGCATTCTTTACCGATTCTTTGCTTTCCAGTCGGCTGACTTGTGACTTGCGATGGCTCCAAAATGCGGTGGATAAATATCGCTACGCCGTTTGGTTCGGCGAAATGGATAATCTGATCTCAAAATGCTTGACTATTGCTCGTATTCTTTGTGACAGACATCAGGCAGATGACAACAGTTGGACCCGAAACCTGCCAGTCAGTCCACCAGGTGTGTTTTGGAATAGGATGCAGCAATAATTGCTATGCTTCAATCTGCTTTTCCATGGCAACTGCCCCGCTAGAGATTAGAACACAGGACGACACCATTTACGCACACACACACACTCACACTTGCGCACACACTCGGAGAGGACACACACACACACACACACACACACACCACACTTGCGCACACACTCGGAGAGTCTGAATCCTGAGAGGCCAATTAGACAATGCTGGTGGCAGGAGGCAAGTCGGGGCAGGGCCGCGGCTGCTCGACCGCTTGTGCTCCCTCTTCTCCCTTGGTGATTCTCTGTCACTGGGAACTGACATGATGCTTGCATCACAAAGCCGAAAAGTGAGTTTTTGGAAGTGTACACAAAGTGTCCCGCTCGCCGCTTTTCAGTGAGATACGGGCTGAAAGCTTTTATTGACCATTTTTGGTTCATCCTGAAATGTCACCCGTAAACAGAAATATCGCTAACTTATTTTGAGTTGTGTACACTTTTGTTTCAGGTGCCAATAACCGACTTTCGTATCTTGAAATGTCTTTCGTAACAAGAGGCAATATTATCCTGTGGAGACATTTCGTAACTTGAAAATGTCGTATGAAGAAACGTTCGTAAGTCGAGGTACCGCTGTACTTGGACTGCACATGCGGCCGTCGCTGGCCTGCTCGTGATGCAGAGAGCGAGCTAATTGTCCGGCGACGAGCAAGGCGATCTGTCTAATGAAGGCCCTTTTTTAAACCTCACACCTGGGCCAAGTCCTCCAATTTCCTCGAGGACAATTTGAATCTCTGTAATTATCCTGCCGAGAGGAAGACAGGTGGAGAATACAACAGAAAGGCCTCCACGGGCAGATGCTGCATTTTCAGCAATGAGGCCTTTCCTTTGGGTGGGGGAAAAAAACAAAGTCAAGAATGTTTCTGCCGTTTTTCACTTTTTTTTTGTGTATGTGTGTCTGTGGCCTTTCAGAGGCCACCAAAGGTCTGATTTAATTGTCATTAAACCGTATATGACTGTTGACTGCACAATATGAACACTCCACGGCCTTTCGGAATGGGTTTCATATCGGTTATCCCAGCGGTCCCCAACCTTTTTTTGGTTGGGCAGGTTTCGTCATCGGCGCTTTTGTGAACAAATCAATGCGAGCAAGTGCAGTCTGTTTTTTTTTTTTTGTTTTTTTTTTTGGCGTTCCATTTGCAAGCGATGCTTCTGACCAACCGACCGGTGTCCTTAACATCCTGCCTTGCGTGACCGGGCTGGCTTGATAGCCATCAGTAGCCAAATAAGTTGAGGTCAGTCTCCCGTGCGTCACCCCTCTCCTCATTTGCAATACAAATGAAATCCCAAACAAAGCAAACCTTTTTGGAGCCCAGCGCTTTACGAAACGGCCAGACTCCTCACAGGAGTGACTCGGTAGAGGGGGGGGTGCGAATCGGTTACTTATAATTGTCTAGTTTGTGAGTGGTTTGTTGGAGTACGTTTCACCTTTATGAAATCAGCCTTTTTGTTGACTTGAAATAAAAAAAACAGGGCCCTGCATTATTACTTTTGTATTGGGGGGGGGGGGGCGTCCAGCCCAAAGAATCACATTCGCTGTCCAAATCCATCGCTGCCTATTTGATTGTCTTTTGCGTCAACGTTGGGACTGTTTGTTTAACTGCGGGCAATCGCCTTCTTCCACATTTGCCGGCGGAGTTCTGCTGCGAGCCGTGCCACACCCCGCCTGAAACAGGATATGGGTCGGCTATTGTGCTCATTGTGAAGAGACTAATCCGAACAATTCCACCTTCCAGACCGAAAGTGGCTGCCTAACCCAACATCAAGCCAAGCCCCGCTCAATTTTTGGATTCGGCCCCCCGTTTGCCCCCCTCGGGACGAGAGCTTTTGTTGGCCGGTGCTCCCCCCCGCCTCTAAATGCTCCAAACGGACCTCAAACCTCCGGTGTCGCTTTTTCAAGTTTTACTCACCTGCACTTTGTTCACCTGTTGATGCCGCCTTGGTTATGGTTGGGCCCAAAAAAAAAAAAAAAAAAGGTGTGTGTAGACACAAAGGGAAGGCATTTCATGAGAGCAAAGGGCAGGTATTTCAGGTGGCGGCCGACTTTTACAGCAAAAAAAAACGACGGCCGAAGATTTTAACTAGATGACGCGGCATTGAAAATGTACGTTTCGTCTAACCGGGCGTGTTTGCGTAGAACAGAGGAGGCCGTTCCCACAAAGCCTGAGCCGACATCCAAAAAAAAAAAACACAAGAAGGTACCTGGGGGGTCCCGATTTTCTCCTCCTTTTTTTTTCCACG